AGTGCGAGAGAGTTGCAGAAGAGAAGTAACAAGCCATTGCCACCTGAGATTCTGGCCGATGTGTGAATCATGGAAGCAAGCAACAACTAGTAGCCACGTTTAATCTTTGGATGAAATTAATATGTTTTAATTTCTCAAAAAGCGATTAGTTGACATTGCAAGAATTGGTGATTACAATGACGAGAAGGAGAGAGGTAGAAGATTTAGAGATGGGTATTCTGTACAAGTCTATATCATGGCAGAGAGATACTTAGTGTATTATTTGTTTAGACATAGGGGTAACCAGTTTATTGAAATGCACACAGTTTATTTTTGAATTATTTTAATTATGATTATGTTACCTCATATCTGAAACAGAGGCATGATTAATGCTTACTTTACATTGTGGATTATTACACCGTCATCATATCATGGGAACCAGCTTATATTTATTCGGAGCATTCGACAGAAGTCATTTTTATTTGTTGTTGTTGTTGTTTCGTGTCTATTAGAAGGCTCACAAACCCAGAAGACAGAAAGGAAAGAATGAATTGCAAAAGAAAGCTGAGCCATTGACATATAGCTGCGAAGTTTCCGTCGAAGGAGGGAAGGTGCATATATAGAACCAAATTCACTTGGTAAGTTGTGTATATGATGGATCTCTGATCTGTTCCTTTAAATTTTTCAAAGAAAGAGGGTCATGAAATTTTAATAATTCATCAGGGGTGTATGTGGAAACATTCTCTAATTATTCCTAGAACTAACTTTATACTTCGTGTCACATGCTTCATTAACGAAAAAGGAGACTATTTAACAAGAGACTTACCTGCACAGGTTTACTCAAAATATGGTCTTTTGAACTTTGGTGCAAAAATTACTAAAACATAAGATTGTGTCGCGTCAAGCATTCCCCATTTCATAAACACGTTTGTCTTTTATTTCCATTCCTTGCTTCTTGTCTGCGTCAGATCTATTCCATTCAATTTAGAGCATCTTAAAAAGCATATGGCGCCTTCGTTCCTTCAAGTAGTAGTTAAGTAGCTTTTACATTAAAAACTTAATGAAATAGTATTAAATATTTTAAATTAAACGATATGAACAAGCATGTAAGAAATAACACGACAATGGCTATAAATATATTCCTCCGGTCCTAAATATAAGTTCCTTTTTACAGTGTAATTTACACTAAGAAAGGGGTCTTATATTGGGGATCGGAAGAGTATAATGTTACAACCTTCGATCCTTAATATAAGACCTAGTTGACTAATTTTAGGAGATTAAGGGAATTAGTTAAGTTAGTTATTTGTTATAAATAGATAGATGTTCTCTTTTCTAAAATGCCCTTGCTAATTATATATATTAGCTAGAATTACCATTTGATGAAACATTTAACATGTGCAACTACTATAAGGACTACTTTGAAAAAAATGAGTAAACAAGAAAAACAAAATAGTTTGGGGTCTTATATTTGGAACCAAATTAAAAATCAAACACGCTTTTATAATAAGAAACAGAGGCAGTAACAAATTTACTCACAATATGGTCCTTTGTTCGTAAGTGGTGATTACAGAGTCAACAGGAGACTTATCTTACACAAACTTACTCCTAGTCTAGAGATGAGGTGAACAACGTTAGGAGCTCATTATTGAATCTCCAGTAGGCCCTTTTCAAGCTTCATGTGTTTTTACGCATAGTATGTTTTCTTAATTATTTAATAACGAATTATTTCAGCAAATTCCAATAAAAATAATGAGGTTCATGTGCTGAGTCCTCAACAGATTAGACTTCAATTTGATTCCCACCCCTAACCCGCCGTAACTTGTCATCTGGTGGGCTGCCAGCCCCTACACTTGAACGAGGTATAAGGCTCGAGTCTAGCCTTAACATATTTATGTGCATATATTTTGATTATTTAAAATAAAACAAAAAGATTATTAAAAATAAGAAATTGAAATAATTAGAAAAATATCCACTGTGTTTCCTATTACCTTTTACACAATTTTCTATCACCATTTGAAAAAATAAACAAATTAAATAAAAATTCAAATAAGGTGAAAAGGCAGCACAATCTTTCATTGACGTACTTATGTTAATGAAGAAGCATTATTTATGAAAAAACTTTGTAGCAATGACAAAATTAAAACCGGCAAAAACTGTTTGGCTTTAATTTTACCTAACTATTTCAGGTTATTAGAGGGGGAAAAATAAATTTTGAACTTTCTTAAAACAGTGAAAGATTTGTTTTATATATGAGGTGAAACAACAATTATGTGTAGTTGTTTTTAAATATCAGAAGCATGATTGAATGAACACAGATAAAATGAAATAAAATTAAAAAAATTAATTTGTATCAAATATAATATCAGTATAATATGAATATCTGATACATTAACTTTTTATTGAATAAAAACTGAAAATAAAGTGAAATTACCAATAATTTTTTTGATTATATGGAAAACACATAACAAAAATTTCTTAAAATATAGAGATTATTACTATCCTCAATTTTTAATTTTTTGTAGTATTATTCAAAAACAAAAGTGATTATGCAGAATGTTTAATATAGTTTGAGGAATAACAAGATTTTTTTTTAACGTAATTACATACATTGATACCCTTTCGGCTAAAAAAATTACGTTAAAACCTATTAATTAATCGTTGAAATAATAAAAGGTTTATGCTATTTTAAGTTATGCCTAATTAAAAATAATTGTGCTGAACAAGGACATATATTCAGTTTAATTTGCACAAATCCAAACAGGCACAAACAGTCAAACGTGATGCATAAGTTTAGGACTTTGGTGCAAAAATTACTAAAAACAAGATTTGCGTAACAAGATGGGGAAATTTCTACAAAAGCAACTTCCAAATTACCGAATCTCAAATAAAAAATTCTTTTAAAAAATGTGTTATTATTTAGTAGTGAAAAACCTATGGGTTAAGATGCATCCAGCATTCCAAAGTATTTTTTCGGATGCATCCAATACCCTAAAAGACACCATGAAGTATTTTTTTAGATGCGTTCAGCACTGTGAAGTTTTTTGTATGCATCCAACATCTCAAAGTTTTTTTTAGATGTGTCCAACACCCAAAAATATTTTTTGGTACATCTAGCACTAAGGAAAAAAAATTACTCCAAGGTGCTAGATACACATAAAAATTACTTCAGGAAGCTGGATGCACTACAAATACTCCAGGTGTTGGATACACCTGAGAAAATACTTCAAGGTACCGAATGCATTTTAACCCAAAAACTATTAATTTATAGGAAACAATTTTGATTTGAGATTTAGTAATTTTTATGTTCCTTGTGTGAGTTTTCTCTAGAAGATCTGCCGCTTTTTAGTGAATTGATAATCTTCAATTCAAATCCAAGTCGTTTGCTTCACCAACGTTCCAGATTGTGCCAGGTCCGCGTTTAAACCATGAGAAATAATACGACAATGGCTACAGATATACAATGCATCAGGAGCAAGTGAACTGTGAGGCATCTGCAAAAGAAGATACTACATGGTACTTAAGGCAATTAAGTTGTTCCCCTACAGCACTATCGTTTTTAATGTGTACGTGCTTTTTTAAAGAAAAAGTCAAGTTTGTTTTCTTTTTCTTTTTCTTTTTTTTTTCTTGTTGGTAACATATCACGATCTTTTTTCTTGATCCCCTATCATTTATTGAACACCTTAAACCATACGAAAACGGAAGGAATAAACGAAAAGGCTATAAATATATAGAATGTGTGAAGAGTCAGTGAAGTGTGAGAGCGAGCTGAAAAAGAAGTAACAAGCCACTGCCATCGCAAATTCACGTGGAGGAAGAAAGAAGTAAGCGCAATTAATCTTTGTTTATTTCGTTGAAATGTGTATTTTAATTTCACCTGAAAGAACTGATGATTACATACAGTAACGAGGGGAGAGAAGTACAAGATTTAGATATGAAGTACGCCGCTATATTACTAAAAACCTCCGTCGTTTCTTCTTTATGTACAGAAGAAAATTAAAGTATTATTATTAGGCAACACCTGAGCCAATTCCTATCTGAACTTCGATAGCAACACTGGGTGCTAACTCATTGCATTCACTCCTTCTCATTTGATTTACCTATGTCCTTCCTCTTAATTATGCATTCGAATACATATTTTAAATTTTTAATGCGTATGTGCTGGTTGTTGATTCCAGTGATGGAGGCAGACGAATTAGAGATGGCTAATTTGAACAAGGCCATATATGAGGACAACTGGTTCGAAGCAAAAGCATTCATTGATCGCCATCCTAAGTTATTGGACGTAGATTTTGGAGCTTCAAGAGGCGAAACGCCTCTTCATACAGCTGCAAAGTTCGGGCATGTGGCCATAGTAGAAGAGTTGATGAAATTAGTTGAACCAGAATATCTTGAAATATGGGATTATTATGGCTATACTCCACTTGCAACAACTGCCACACATACGGAATCCATCCCAATTGCAAAATGCATGATAAAGAAAAATAGCAATGCACTTGCAATTCCAGCTCCATGGCCTTGGCTGATTCCTGTTACCTTGGCTTTTCTGTCTGGCCACAACAAATTGGGACGTTATCTCTATTCTGTCACTCCTTTGGAAGTCTTCAAACCAGAAAACGGCTCTTTTGTGGGCCCCGAGTTTTTCCGAACCTGTTTGAGAAATGGAGAATATGGTAACGTCATTTTTAGATATATAATTTCATTCGCAATAAAGCGCAATTTATGTTTCATTTTCATTTTTTCCCTCTCATCTCTTTATACTAAATGATTTTGTTACATGAATAGGTATTGCCTTGCAATTGCTCCAACAATGCACGGAGCTGCTTTTTGCTCAAGACGCAGATGAGAACTCAACAATTGCGAATATTGCACTCTCTCTTCCTCATTCTCTTCACAAAAGTCAACTTCCGTTCTTGAAGCGATGGGCCTATCACTGTTAGTACATATTATTACTTTCCACTCTCCGTTCTCCCTGCAATTTTCTATACATGTCGTTTGCTCTTTTAAAGTACTGGCTAGCCATAATGGCGAATTATGATGATGACGGTAAAGATGGTGAAGATGAAACAACCTCTGGTATAATTTAGTTTACACACACTTATTCCCAATCCGTTTCGATCACCCTTCCCCTCTTACTCCTACCTTCCTAATTAAATAAATATAGCCTTTTAAAAGACATTCTCAACCCACAATATAAGTCACTTGATGGATGATTAATGAATTTTTTTCCAAATAGGTATTACCCCTCCCTATTACAATTTATTAGAAGAGGAGTTGAAGTATCGTATAGTGTTTCTCTGTGCTCTTAAATATGTGCAGAGTTGCAAAAACATTTCATTTTTAAATTTGACAAGTGAACCATTTTTCTTGTTCTGGTGAGGTAGTACTCCCTTTGATTCTTATTATAAGACATTTTCAACTAATTCTTACATACTAATTAATGACAGTTAAAGTATTAAATTTCTCTTAAATTAATAATTTTTTTCAAGTTTCCTTCCGTTTAGATTAAATAAGGTTGGAAAAAAAATTCCAAAAATACTATTTATGTAATTAACCCTCAATTAATTGGAAGATATCATCTTTGACTTCAAGTTTCATAGAAAACAAGAGGCGGCGGTAATTAATTAATACTATTTATGTAATTTACTTGTGCTTCTGGTTTTTTTCTGCATTATTATTTGAAGAAGCTTATGTTTTCCCATTTCTTTGATCACTTTTGGATGGAAGATATTAAAATACCACCAACCACAACCACTGGGCATTTCTGCGTAGATATTCAGCAAGAAGGCGAGGGCAGCAGAGCTGGTCAAGGTACAATATCCTCTATTATCACTTCAGGAGATGAAATCAAATAATATTATATAACTATTATTACACAACATAGTAGATTACAATTTGTAATGTTTTCCATTTAATTTAGCACCCATAAAATCAGGTATGCCAAAATATGAAATTTGAAATTAAAAATTAATTTTTATTATAAGCTCGATTTTTGAATATATGTCTCAGCCTTAATTTATGCACCGGTTACTCAATGTTAGCATTTAATTAAGTTGCACTTAGCTTTGACTAGAAAAATGCACGTCAACAGGGACAGGTCTACGCCATTGGCTACTCTCCAGCGTATATAATTTGTCAGGTATGTATATATTTGTGCGCGCGCCAAAAAGTTGCCCAGAACTTAAATCGAATGCCTTTAACATTCTAGTTCTATTTCGATCGACTGACAATGGTGCAGGAATGAAGGAAATGTATAAGATGAAGCTCCAGCATGCACAAGCAACTGAAATTCTAAACCTACTTTGTCCGAATATTCTGATGCTTCTGAATGTAGAAAAGAGGAATATGATTAGAATAGCACTGAATTGTGCAGCTCAGCAGGACAATGCTGAGTTTGTTTTGCGAGTAACGAAGGCAAACCCGGAGTTAATCGCACTTGTTACTTCTGTTTGTCTAAACTATCCCGTTTTCGTCATTACCGCTGTTGAATATCGTAAAGCTGCGGTTTTCAGCCTCTTCCTTTGTCGTCACTTCGAGATTATGGCAGCAGCAACACCGGCAAAAATGAGAGCAGCAAGAGAGACAGGAAATAACTTGCTACATTTGGCAGCCTCGTTAGCTCCTGATTCCTACCTTAACAGCATCTCCGGTGCCGCACTGCAGATGCAAAGAGAACTGCAATGGTTCAAGGTTAGAACTGAAATTTAATCCTTTTCTGTGCATGCCAGAGGCAGAAGAAAATGAATCATATTAACACATGCACACATGTCCGGTTTTTTTCCTTGCCAATAATTAAGATTCATTATTATATGGTGCAATTTAATGAATGAAATTGACCAAAGAAGGAGATGTTCTCTTTAAGGATTAATTTTTTTTTAATTCATAGACACATCTGATGAGACTTGCTGATTGTGAACTAGCTAGAAAAGTGAAGTGATTTTATATCATTAGATAATTCCTTGTATAATTTAAGAATAATAATGGGTTAGCTTATATAGAACAAAATAATTGTTTTAATATACAATTAATCAATTCTAGCTATTTTGTTACTTTGAGTCTTTTATTTATTGCTCATTTATTTATTTATTTTCTATATACATAGGCTGTCGAGAGTGTAGTGGATGCCGGATACAGGCTACATCAAAACAAGGAGGGGCTGATTCCTATAGAATATTTCAAAAAAAACCACAAAGGGCTAAGGGCTGAAGGAGAAAAATGGATGAAGGACACAGCATCTTCTTGTTCAGTTGTTGGGACTCTAATTGTTACGATCATGTTTACCGCAGCTTTAACAGTTCCCGGGGGGAACAATCAGGATTCAGGGTACCCAATGTTTATCAAGGAGAAGTTATTTAAAGTTTTCTTGATTTCAGATGCACTTTCTTTGTTTTCATCCACTACTTCTGTGCTCGTATTTTTAGGAATCCTCACCTCACGCTATGCAGAAGAAGACTTCCTTTGCTCGCTACCTACAAAATTGATAATAGGTCTTTCTACATTGTTTTTGTCTATTGCAACTATGATGATTTCCTTTTCAGCAACAATAATGATCATGTTGCAATATAATTCACTACGTTTATGGGTTACTCTTCCTATTACTATGCTGGCTGGTGTTCCAGTAACCCTCTTTGTATTATTACAATTCCCTCTTCTTGTTAAAGTGTTTTCTTCTACTTATGGTCCAAGCATCTTCAAGAAGAAGGTGGAAGAGTGGTCATGAACTGTGCATGTAATTAATTCAAATCTTACCATATATGTATGATTTCCTATTGAATAAAGATTTTCCTCCTCTTGAATCTTAATCGTGTAATAACCCAATTGCTTATATATTTAACCTATGTTGGAGGTGTGTATCAACCTTTGCATGTTTAGAACATAAATATATATTGATGTGGTTATGCCAAATTAATTAGATTAATTAGCTGATTGTGGATGAATTTTTTTTTGGTAGGCACAGGTATTCTCCTATTAAATGTAATTCTGTTTGAAATACTATCAGGTACTAATTATGAGTAGCTTTTTTAGTTGAGATTTGAGCTTTGGTTCATCATGTTATAAGAAATTAGCCCCTTTCACTTTGCAGATGAATTATTTATTTTTAATGGGAACAAATATAAAATGGGTTGTATGCTTGGTGATTCAATTACGGGTGGCCCAAACCAAAGTCATCACATGGGCCTAATACATGTGATTGGCCCATGGTACTTTATAATAATTAGGATTAAGAATAATCTTAAAGAATGATAGAAGTCCTTTCAAAAATTTAACTAGTCAACCCACGGTCTTGTTGACTGTTCTAGGCCCTAGCTTGTTTTTAATATCTGGGTTCTGATTCACTAATATTTATGCAAGTACGTACTCCACATCTTATTACGTTACGTATTTTCTATTGAATAAGAAATTTCAGATCCCCTTGAATCTTATCATGCAAATAAAACACCTGGTTTTATTTTTAGCCTAATTAATGCGTTTGCATATCATCACGCTTTGCATATCTAGAGCATAAACATTGATAATGTTGCGACTATAGCGGGCCTGTTATAGTTTGAATCGAGATAAAGTTGAACAATTTAAATTTAAATTAATACAAATTTCTTACCAAAAAAATAGGTTAATAAAAAGTTTAAGCAAAAAAGTTATGGTTGAGATTTTTAGGAGTGGAGGAATATTATTGATGATACCAACAGATTTTTTTAAATAGATTTTAGACTATTTTCATTAGTTTTGTATATAGAGAAAGTAAATAGCACTGCTAAGTTTCTTTATTGCTGAAAGATAATTCATCATGAACATGAATTTTGACTATATCGCAATTGAAGTCGTGGCACAACATCGGAAACTCCTCTTCCATGATCGCCTTATGATGTAACAAATTAAATACCTCATTAACATAAAAATGACTAGTCAATTATGATTTTTTTTATTATGAACAAAAAGCTAAGCTTGATTGCAGATGATGATCAAGTCCTTGTCGCGGTACCTAATCATCCAAGAGATTTATCTACACGTGAATTGAATTTCAAATGCATTTAAACTTTTCAAAGAAGGAGGGTCATGAAATTTTAATACTACATCTGGTTTTTAATATAAAAGCTCGTTTGATTTTTATTTTGATTTTAAATATAAGACCAAATTCATTTTGTTTCTCATATTTATCCTTTTTTGTTTAGATAGTCCATGTAATAATGATAATTCTAGTCAATACACTTGACCGCATCTCTCATGCCGCATTATATTTAGGACTAAAACAAAGTCAAACAAGCTCTTATATTAAAGATTGGAGGTGGTATCAAACACAATACCCATATCTAAATCTTGTATCTCTCTCCCCTCATCACTGTAATCACCAATTCTTGCAGATTTAACTTCTAACCTTAAACCACTGCCATTCCCTAAGCGGCACTAGGGATACGCTAAAGTTGGGAAGGAGGAAGCCAACTTCGCTGCTGTGTGTAGCAAGTTATTAGAATTCTCAAGGAACATTGCTGCTACCATATTCCTAAAGCGAAACCCACAGAGTTAAAATTCTCAGCTTGACGATATTTAACAGCACTGAAGAAAGCGTTCTCCTTTAATTTTATTGAGAAAAAGTGACCATTGAGATTAATTTTGGGTTTGCTGTTGATATCTTCTTAAAAAACTCAGCACGCCAACAGTGCTTTTCCAATCATACGCCTTTTTATCTTCATTCAGAAATGTCAGATTGTTAGAAGCCAGCTCTAGAATTTCGGTTGCCTGTGTGTGTTGCAACTTCAGCTTATGTATTTCCTTCATCCCTCGACAATTGGTAACTCAGATATAACTTAATATTGGTCGAGTTTAATCATGAGAACAAAAAATCTTAAAAGTAACTAATTTAAGTTCTGGCAAAATTTTGAGCATACATGCCAAGCAAATTATAAAAGACGGAGATGAGCCACTGTAGTAGATTTAGTCCTACATATTGAGATGGAATTTTGTCAGTGCAACCATTCAAAAAGATCACACACACATACATACGTGCATACGGGTCTATCCTTTTCTTGCATTGCATCAAAGTTAGGTTCAACTTATATGTCAACATTTGGCATCTTATGCGTAAATCAAGATCAGCATCTCAGTCCAAAAAAAAAAAAATATCAGCATGTCACTATGCCCAAATTGATTTTTATTCTCAAATTTTATATTTTGACATACCTCATTTTCATGTATGATAAATGTAATATCCTGAATTTCAAGGTGTTAAAGGAATCAGGAAGAATTATGAAGAAATAATTATTAAAAATTATTTAATGCCTAAGAAAATTGGGGGAAAATTATGAAATATTAGTTTTCAGAGTTTAGAATATTATGAAAGAGGTAATTTCACCAAAATGGCTTAAATAATTTTGAAGCTAATTTTTGGAGCAAACAGGGAACCATTTTCCAAAAATTTTCACCAAAATGGCTTAAATAATTTTGAAGCTAATTTTTGGAGCAAACAGGGACCCATTTTCCAAAAATTTAAGGGAAAAAATGGCTAAAGGATTATATTTGAGTTGGGATTTTTAGGATAATTACTTTATGATATGCGCATATATATATATATTGCATCAGAGAAAAAAATGTATTATTTTTATTTTCCAGAAGTGAGCGGTTAATATAATTTTGCACCCTTATGCAATCCGGAAGAATTCTTTTTTTTTTTTAAAGTTCCGCAAATATTTAACGTTTTTTTTTTGTCATCCTTAAATTCTTTAGAAATTTAAATTTTGAAGCTTTTAATTTCAGATGGGCAAGTCAAATCCGCTGTTCAGTGGGATCAATCATTTTAACAGGCAACTTAATACCACAAATAATCCATGATTGGACAAAAAAAAAAGCCTGAAAAGAAAAAACACTTCGATTCTGAACAAAAATAGATAACTAAGGACTATCTCACACTCGGAGGATTTGCCCGGAAAAAAAAAAAACAAGAAGAAGAAAACACTAAAATTAACCTCAACCAGTTCTAATATTTAAAATTGGAGGAATATTTATCACTTTTTTTTTTGGGGGGAGATCGGGACCCGGAGAGAGAAACCAGCGGCAAGTGGAGAGAACGAAATAACTCAACCTACGGCCGCCAACACGGAATAAACAAAGTCAACCCAAATGAATAAGCCTTTTACACACGGTTTCAGAGTTTCAGTTCAGTCATAGGAAGGGAATTCTATTGGTAAGTGTGTCTAATCTCTATTCCTTTCAACAAAATTGCTAGCTTCAAATTTCAAACCCACAGGCCCTACGTAGAGGAGTATCACCATCTTCTACATACAAGACCTTTAGGTTGCGTTACTCAAGGCAGAGCACCCCAATTTTAGCGAGATAGGTTCAGAACGACAAAAACGGAATCCAACTGCAAAGATTGTTTTGAATGTGTTAATAGAGTAATTAGCTAATAGAAAGTGGCTAACTTAGCAAATCTCTCTCTCTCTCTCTCTCTATATGGGTATATATATATTCTTCGTCTTAGTTTTGCATACAGTCTGTGTGTGTTTTTGTGTATTACAGTGATGACAGAGGTCAAAGGTTTTGATATGGCTAATTTGTACAAGGCTATATCTAAGAACAACTGGCCTGCTGCGAAAGAGTTCATTGATCACCATCCCATGGCCTTGAACCAAGAACTTGTTGCTTCGACAGGCGAAACACCTCTCCATGTGGCTGTAAAGTTTGGCCATTTGAGCATTATAGAGGAATTGCTGAGATTAGTTCCTCCAGAATACCTTCAAAAACTTGATGCTCATGGCTATACTCCACTTGGAATTGCAGCATCACATAGGGGAATCATTCCAATAGCGACATGCTTGGTTGATAAAAATAGCAATGCACTTTCTATTCCAAATGGACAGCTTAAATTGATTCCTGCTACATTGGCTTTTCGTGTTGGCCTCTGTGAAATGGGACGTTATCTCTATTCTGTCACTCCTTTGCAGGTCTTCAAGCAGAAAATGGCCCTCTGGGTCTTTCGTTTCTCAGAGGCTGTTTCGTCACTGGAGATCTTGGTAATACAACTAGCAATATGTCAACAATTCACTATATATATGTCTTGTTTTCATTCTTTTCTCTATGCGGGTTCATGTTCTTTTGATATTTCATCTCATATACTAAGTGATTATGATATATGGATAGACATTGCCTTGGATTTGCTTCGACGATGTGAAGAGCTGATTTTTGCTGCCGATTTTGGATACTCAACCATTAAGAACATTGCATTCTATATTTCTAATTCTCTCAACAAAAGTCAACTTCATTTCCGGAAGCAATGGGTTTATTACTGTTAGTGCATGTCACTCTTTTAAATGTCTGTTTTTTTCCTTTTATCCCTGCAATTTTCTAGATGTCCTTTTCAGTTATATACAAGCCAAAGTACTGAATTATGGTGATGAGAGTAATGGTATTGAAGCTCAAGTTATTTTAACTATAATCTCGTTTTCATCATGCTATATTCTGTAAAGAAAAGAGCTTGGAACTGAACTAAAAAAAGTGAGAGATTCATTAGTAATAGCTGGCTAATATATCAGCTTTTTCAAAATACTATCCAGGTCTAAAAACATGTGTTAGACTGATATGACATGACAATAGGAATAAACAATCTTGTAGAATCTGTTCAACTACTACAAAAGAAACCAAAGGTTTTGCAAAGCCAAAACAAAAAACAGCAGAATACCTTTGCCTAAGGTAGTCTTATTGCATCAACACTCCTCCTTGAGACTTTGTCGAGGGACTCTAAGCTTCCTTCTAAGCTCCTGAAATCTGTCTTTAGGCAAAGCTTTGGTGATTATGCCTGCAACAGTGCAACTTGCTTTTCGGAACTGCAATGCACAAGACATATTTCCTGTTCCCTTTCAGCATTTCTGAGAAAATAAAATTTGACCTTTATGTGTTTGGCATTCCCATGCTGCACAGGGTTTCTTGCAATATCACAAAATATTTGAGTAGCTTCAGCTCGCTCCAGACCCAAATCTGTCAACATCTTTCTAACCGAATAGCTTGGTTTGCATACTTCTGCAGATGATTGAGCCACAACCTCTTGCCTTTTGGAGTTCCAGCAAAACAAACTAGAACCAGGAGAAAACGTATAACCTGATGTACTCTTTCCATCATCTACGCTTCCAGCCCAATCACTATCGACATATCCAATTAACTTGGAATCTGTAACAGTCTAACTCTGATGTGCCTTTTAAATACCTCAGCACCCGTTTGCCAGCTACATAATGCACCTCACTTGGTTTTTGCAAAAATATTGATGATAAATATGCTGCAAACATCACATCAGGCCTTGTTGAGGTCAGGCAATGTAAGCTCCCAACAGCACTGTTATACTTACACCTCGTTGCGTCAGCCTTGATATCTTCTTCATCACATTCACATAATGTTTTATTGACTACCAAAGGAGTATCCTTAGGCCTGCAGCTTTGCATTTTAAAATATTTTAAAAGCTCTTGAACATAAGCATGTGGAGAAACAGAGATTCCTTGATCTGTCATGAAATCCTGAAAAACAGAGCAGCCATGCCTACGAACATATCTTTTCAACTACTGCAGAAGAAAGCGCCATGACAGACCGAATGTCTGGCAAATCCAAAAACAAAAAAAATCAGTAGATTATGTTTGCCTACAGTATCTAGACGAAGTCTCATTACATCAATATTTGCTTGAGCATGCTAGTTTCAAAATAACCATATTAATTTTATCATGAAATCTATCTATTTAAAACTTATTTGTTTGTGCATGATAGCTTTCCAAAATTCGAATAGCCTCACACAAGTTACTTGTCCTTCTAGTTATTAATTTTATCACTTTCACTATTTGAAGAAGCTAATGTTTCTCCATTTCTTTGATCACTTCATGGGTGGAAGATATCAAAATACCATCAACCTCGGCCACTAATCATTTCTATGTAGACATGCAACAAGAAGACAAGATGAGTAATAGAGCCGAAGATACAACAATATAATACTCTTTGTCAGTTGATTGGAAGGCAAAATCAAATGATATTGCAAATCTAACAGAACATTTATATCAAAATGTAAAAAAATTTATTTTGTTAATCATACATGAAAATCAGGTATGTCAAAATATGAAATTTGAAAATAAAAATCATATCTTATGCATAAGATGCTAACTGCTCACATTTAAGTTGAACCTAACTGTTGTGCAACGCAAGAAAAAGATAGACCTTCACATGCATATAATATGTCTGTAATCCTTTTGAATGAAGGGTTGATAAAATTCCATCTCAATAGGACTAAATCTACTACAGTCACCTCCCTCCTTTATAATTTGTCCGGTATGTAGCTCAAAAATTCCCAAAAAATTAAATGAGTTGCTCTTAAGATTTTTGTCCTCATGATTAAGCTTGACTAATATTAAGTTATATTTGAGTTGCCAATTGTCCAGGAATGAAGGAAATACATAAGCGGAAGTTGCAACATTCACGAGCAACTGAAATACTAAACCTGGTTTGTAAGAATCTAACATTTCTAAGTGAAGATAAAAGGCCTATGATTGCAAAAGCACTGTTGACGGAGGCTAAATTAGTGAATGTTGAGTTTTTGTTCAAGGTATCAATAGAAAACCCATAATTAATCTCAATGGTCACTTTCTCTCAACAAAAGGCGCATGCTTTCTTCAATGTTGTTGAATATCATCAAGCTGAGGTTTTCAACCTTCTCCGTGGGTTTCACTTTAGGAATGTGGTAGCAGCAATGTTCACTAAGAATCATGATAACTTGCTGCACACGGCAGCTAAGTTGGCTCCTCCTTCCCAACTTAACCACGTCCCTGGTGCTGCGCTAAAAATGCAAAGGGAATGGCAGTGGTTCAAGATTAGAAATTAAATTAGATGCTTTTGTGTGTGTGTTGTGTGAGGGAGATTAATATATAAATGAAATCATTAAATCATGTAGTTCCCACCTACTTGGACCTAATGGTTAGCAGAGGAGATATTAAATTCAACAAGAAATGAGGGAATAATTGCATTAACTCAAGTGTAACAAACATAGGGTAAGGAAATTAGCTAAATTATTTATTGATAATGAATGTGTGTTGACTTCCTTTAATTACCTTATACAATCATATATATATATGAACTATTCCTTGATGTAGAACCCTATATTTTGGAGAAAACATTATAAATTTGATAAATAAATTGGATTGGAATTTTATATTTAGGATAAAATCTAATATCTAACGAGCTCTCATATTTAGAATTTACAACTCACTGTTACAATATTTTTTTGTTAAGAGATAGAGCACTTCATATATCTATTAGAAAATAAACGCTTAAAGTTTGAACTCAATCTAGTTCCACAATTAAAACCTCAATTTATATATCTAATTGAGTTTCTCACTTTATCTAATCATAAATATCAGGTGTGGCTCAAATCAAATCGAAAAGATTTAAGACAACATATTTGGCTTTATTGGAACAGCCTAGCTCGTCTCCAAAATCTTAGGGCTCTTTGTTTCGTTCTTTTATTTTCTTGTTCCTAAAACAATTATATAAAATTATTTTTTAAAAAAATTTTGAGAATGAAAAAAATGTGTTTGAATAATTATTTTAAAAAAATCATATTTAAAACAAAGAATATAAAAATTCAGATAGGCAAGAAAGGAAGAAGGTTTCTCCAATTTTTCTAAAACAAAAAAAATTTAAAAATACAAAAGATAAAAATAAAAAATTTTGAAAAATTGCTTTATTTTTTAGTTTTTACAAAAATATTACTGTGTTTTTAAGACAATCAACTAAAAACAAGTTACCAAGCACGTTTTGGACCTTTATTTTTAAAAACAAACAATTCTTTTTAAAATAAGAAACCTAAATTTTCATTTTTTTGGGTAATGGATTGGAATAATTATCATGAGGTCTCAAAAAATAAATTTAATTATAAAAAGTTCTAATAATAACTCAGCAGTATAAGTTTGTTGTCATAATCTATATTGAAATTTATCATGGCATACTTTTCAGTCGTATGTTATGGGAATTTTAGATGATTAAATTCCTTTCTTAACATTTTATAATAATTCCCCCTGATATTTTAGATTTATATTGTATAAGGGTATGATCCATGTTTAATAAAAGATATAAAATGGCAAAAGGAAAAAAAATAGGACTACTTCAAACTCAAAACTAAAAAAGATTGAATATTAATTTTGAACTCACTTTAAATGAGAATCAAATACTACCTCTGATCTTAAGTATGAGAGTTAATTTACAGTATAATCTATGTTACAAACTAGTTTTTATAATTAGAAACTAACTTACTTGATACTAATATAGTATTTATTTGGAATAGCTTATAAATAATATTTTAATCATGATTTACAAAATACAAATTAAGTATATGAAAAAATTTTATCTCAATTTATATAAAACGTGTTTATAAAGTTTGTAAACGTTTTTCCAAACAAACCTGTAATTGCCCAAAAAAAACATATCTCCAAATCAAATCAAATCAAATATAGGCGACGTCACGTGTTTCACCTGCAAAACTAAACATTGAATGGCAGTTAATATTAGAAGTAGTTATGACTTTGTTTTTTTTTTTTTTTTTTGACCTGAGAAGTAGTTCTGGCTTTGGAACCAGCGTTCCCTAATCATTTCTGTGGATCAATTAATTTCCCTCATTCCACTAATTCGATTCAAGAGTAGATCCAATTCAAGCAGCTTTCCGCCAGCCAGTGTCTGTCTCTGGCCCCCCTTTTTTTTTTTCTTCTTTTGTTTTTAAATTTATTCTTATTTTTTATTTTCTTAGGAGTGTCTGAATCATAAAAACGATCGAAAGTGATGAAATTAAAATATGAACTTTATTTGGCACCATATATATATATTATAATTATATATAAAAGAAGAGGTGTTTATATTTAATACCCGACTATACTTTGAATAAAATTACCTCCAATAAAATAATATATGTAAATAATAAAAAAATATATAATTGTGCTATAAATACAAGCATCAAATTCATGGAAATGTAACATGTATAACTAGCTAGGTACTTCGGTTTTAATTTTTTTTGAATTAATACATTATATTTAAAACTCAAATAAACATCCCAACTAGCTGGTTTTTACATTTGAGGACCAGAGAGAGTGATATCCTTTGCATTGTTAGTTTAATTTCTTGTGACTTGAATTATTGTCCTGAAAAACTAAACCCTGATGAAGCTAGATATATGTTGGGTAGACTTTAATGTCAATATTTATAAATCCTTTCATTTTAAACTATTTTTACAGACTGTGTCAATATTCTACTTTAATATGAATCAACAAATTAACATGTGTGTAAACTTTTATAAAAATCATGATATTTATAAATTATAAATAATGTGGCGAACATACGCCTAAACTATTTTTTTATTCTAATTTCAGTTTATAAAATATATCAGATAAATAAGTTAACGTGAAAATTTTTTTTATAAAATCATATTTAAATATAAATTACATTATACTGATGAATTTTTATTCTAATTTTAGTTTGAAAAATCAATTAGAATAAAATTCACTTTGGCAATCAACATGTGTTGGTTCTAGTGAAAGAAGTTTTAAGTGCTTAAACATGAGGCCTTGAGTATAAATTTATATGAATGGAGAAAATATTTTTAAGAGAACTATCTTTAATCGCCCCGATAATGTTTAAATTGAACTCAGTTATACAACCATGTAAAAAAAAAAATTACAAATCTTAATGTAAACAAACCCAAAATAAAGCGAAGATGCATTGGGCTTTTTTTTTTTTTTCCCGATTTTTGTGAATGTCGATGAGTCGAAGGCATTGCGGAACCACATCAAAAGACAAGTGGGTTCATTTTTTATTGCTAACTTATCTCTTGGGAGAGAACTCATATATTACTTCCAATTTTAATATGATAGTTTAATTTTTAATTTGATCTTAAATATAAGATCCCTATCAATTCTGTCATTTATATTTATATATTTTTTTTCAAAATAATCCTTATAGTAGTTGTATAAATTAAATATTTTTATCAAATAATAATTTTTGCTAATACACATTATTAACAAGGGTATTTTAGGAAAAATTGTTGGGGGAAAATTAAATGATATAAATGATCTACTAGCTTTGCTGCATAGAATTTGAAAATAAATTATATTACCTCCGACTGTAATTATAAGACTTCATTTATAGACTACAAATGAGGTCTCATAATTAGGACCGGAGGTAGTATATACTCATTCTAAGCTACTCTAGTACTCATTTTAAACTCATCAAATTTGAATTATTTAGTGGATAGTTTAGATTTAATTTTATTTTTATTTATTAAAAATAATTATTTTAATAAGTGTATGCTATAGAGTAAAGATAACCTCTTAACTACTATTTTTTTCAAAAATACATTTTTTCTATTTAAAAATAATTAATTAAAAATTTAAAATCTGAACTGTTCAAATGAGATCTGAATGGTCCAGATCTCATAAGTTTAAGGTGCTCATAACAATATTTTTCTATGAATAATAAATTTTAGATAAACCTGAACCATTCAACTAAATTGAAGGATAAAATTTTATTCAAAATTTTAATCGTCAAATGTTTAGTAGAACACCTTATGAGCTCAACAACCTTGGGTGCACTAATTCATGTTGATATTAATGACGCCTAGGATCCTGACAATGTCATATGTGGGTTCTTCATTTAATGCTCATCACAACGATAAGCATCATGTACTCATCAGTGTAATGCAATTTAAATCATTCAAAATTTAATATTGATGGTTCAGATTTAAAATTTTTAATATATAATTTTTTAATGATAAATTTATTTCTAAAGATATATTAATTATGATATTATATTTATTTTAAATTTTGTATCTATCAAAACAAAAAGTTGATTAAAATATAAAAAAATTTAAATTCAATCTAAACAATCTAAAATCAATCTGGATAGTCCAAATTGCGATGAGCGCCTCATGCTCGTCATTGCTATGAGCATGGAATGTGCTCCCATGTGGCATATGTGTAAAAGATTAAAATTAATCTAAAATAGACAACATTTGTAAAGAAAAGGATGGAAAAATATTCATTGCGAAGCAGGTCATAGGGACTGGTTACTGTTGATATTTACTACATACGGACGCTTCGAACCACCCCAAATTTCCTATATAAAGGGCTAGGGCTTAAGCCTTCGTTATGCATGTGAATTAGGGTTTGCAATATATATCGATCACCACAAACAGAAAAGAAAGAAAGATGGCTCACTTATTCGGGAAGCTTGAAGCAGATGTTCACCTTAATGCTTCTGCTGTGAAGTTTCATGAAATGATCAGCAGCACTCCTCATCACATTGCCAACGTTACTCCTGGGAAAATCAAGGCTGTGACCAAGCATCAAGGTTGTTTCGGAGAAGTTGGCTCTGTCCTCGTCTGGAATTATGTTCTTGGTAAGCCAAATTTTAATTTATCAATATCATGTCGACGGTTTTCTTTTTAATTGACGATTTTCGTTCATTTTCGAGATTGAATAAGCTTCACTATACAATATATATATATATATATATATATTATCAGATCAAATGACAGATATTAGTTGTGACTGCACGTAGATGGCAAGACCTGCGTGGCCAAGACTGTGATTGAAGCCATAGACCCAGCAAAGAACTCAATCACTTTGAAGATAATAGAAGGCGATGTACTTGAACATCTCAAGAGCTTCAAAGCCACGATTCAAGCCATTCCAAAGTAAAGGGAAGTGTGGTTCACTGGACTTTCGAGTACGAAAAGCTTCAGGGGCAAAGCCCAGATCCTCATTCTTTGCAGCTCGCATCTGAGGTTAGCAGAGACATCGATTCACACCTCACACAAGGACAGGACGATCATAAGGAACAGTTATTGGGAAGGCGGAAGTTGATGTTCACATTGATGCTTCTGCAGACAAGTTTCATGAATTGTTCACCTCCAAGCCACACCACATTCCTAATATTTCTCCTGCCAAAATTCAACATGGTGTTGCAGATGCAAACTGGGGCAAGCTCGGTTCTGTCATTACCTGGCGCTATGTCCATGGTAAGCACTCAACTACTTATTTATGCACACACACACACACATATATATATAGAGAGAGAGAGAGTAAGTTACGTACCCTTTCTCTTTAGTACTTCTCGTTTTCTTCTTGGAAAACGACACCTTGAACAGTGAAGTGCTGCTTGTGATTGAGCCCTCATAATTTATATCTGAGTTGCAGTTATTTCCGATCCGAATCAATGATGATGTCATTCATTACTATTTATTGGGAAATCATTATATGGTCCTAAGGAAGGAATATAATTACCAAAAAATCTCATAACAAGTGAATGGCAAGTTTCGGTACCGAAAATATGACAAGAAGATCCATACTGCTTAATTGTCATTTGGACTTTTTGATTGTCATATTCTTTCTTTGGGACATCATGGTGATTTCTACTTTATTCTTCTGATAAGGTGCCAACGTGTTATTTTCCTTTTCATTTTTACCATAGAAGATCAAAGAATCAATGAGCTTCCCTTTGAACATTATACTGAACTGGTATTGTGATGAATTAACAGAAGGAAAAAACTGTGTGGCTAAGGAGAAGATCCATGCCGTGGATGCGAGCAAGAACTTAATCACTGTCAGAGTTGTGGAGGGAGATATCCTGAAGGATTTCAAGAGCATGGACATAACACTGCAGGCAACTCCAAAGGATAAAGGGAGTTTGGTGCACGTCACCATGGAATATGAGAAGCTGAAAGGTTACATATTCCTGATCCTCACTGTCTCACAAAGTTCGTTACTGATGTTGTCAGAGACATCGGTTCTCATGTTGCCCTCTAGCTTCAAGCCTGTCCATCGACATAACACCTAAAGTTCGTATCGTCATAAGTTATATATGAATAAAAACATGTTCAGTCAGACGTTGTAATGCTTGATGACGAGGAGCTTGTTCTTATGTATTGCAATTATGTTAGCTACTGTTCCTGTGTATGTGTGGGATGGAAGACTACTTGAGATTATTCATGGTTGAATGAGTGTGTTTTGATTGGTTGTTATATATATCTATCGAGTGCACTTTATGATTTATCAACTTTCTCATTTTCAGGCTTACCTTTTAATAATTTTTTTTGGCAAATACTGACGGCTTGAACTTATAGACAGGATTAAATGTGTGAATTTTCACTTAAAAGGGAGCTTGCCTTCTAATAATGAGTTTATTTATTATAATAATTACACTTAGTTGTAATTTCATTAACGAAGATGTATTCTTTTAAATATATATATGTATATATATAAAACAATCAATTAGATATAAAAAGAAAGAAACTATATAGCTGGAGTCAGTAGGAAAGGGTCCATGGGTTTGGTTTTAATGGCAGATCAATTTTATCTAAAAGATGGTCAAAAAAGTTGATGGAAAACAAGGAGAGAAAATGAGAAAAAGAAGCGAGCTGAAAAAAAAAAAAGGCAAAAGATAAAAATAGAACAGGAAAAGGGAGAGTTGGGAAAGAAAACAAGAAAGAATAATCTAATTCAATATTCAAAGTCTACCATAGAATGAAAACTCTAGATCTAATTATAATAAAATAATGATAAAAATAAAAATAATAATAACAACTAATTCTAATAATAAAAATATTAAAATACTAATAAATCTAATAAATTTTAAAATGATAATAAATTCAAATCATTCAAATATCTTAAAAATATAATAAAATCATAAATGTTTATTTTTATATCTTGTTAAAACTACTCCCTCTAGTCTATATTATAAAGGGTCAACAAGTTAAGTCACATATAGATAAAAAAAAAAAAACAACTATGTCATTAAATGTGTTCTAAAAGCATAAACTTTTTCAAACCTCCTCTTAGAACAAATATCAACAAGTTAGTGAAAGGTTATTTATATGAGTAGTGATAGTGTCCCGATTCTAAATATAAAACTCATTTTGTAGTCTAAATTATAAAATGAGTTTTATATTTAGGACTAGAGGAGTAATTTATAACTAAGGGTGAACTAGGAAAAAATTTATTAATAACTCTGTTGACCCATTATATTTTATCTTAATTCATGTGAAAGCATTTTTTCCAAGCGATTTTGGAATCCAAGAAACCGCTTGAGGTAATCAAGACTAGGAAGAATTTTTTTCTTGGATGATAACGACACATTCTTTTGTCCCCACCGTAAATTATAATATTCTAATATTTATACATATTTTACTTTATTTTTATTGCATATATTATTCAATAATTTTATCTAATGTCCACTTTAAAGGTTTGTTTGGTATGAGGGATTTAGAAGGAAAGGAGAAGAATTTTAATCATTACCTCTTATTTGGCAACACACAAATTTTAGGAGGGGAAGAAATTTTTTTAAAAATTTTCCCTTCCCCCCTCCTGAATCTCCCCTCCAAAATTGGGAAGATTTAGAGGGAAAAGACAATATTTTGCCATGTAGTAACTATTATGCTTTTATTTATTTCTAATATCCCTATACTACCCAAAATCCTTTTCTTCTTGTCTCCAGACACTGCTCTCTCTTTTGCATAATCAAATATTTCATTCAAAGATAGGATACAGTACAAGTTGTGGTGGAACATTACCTTAGCTTTCATTTCAATAATACTTCACGCTCTAAAGTATATTAGAATTTTGGTATAAGTGTCGGTTAATATATTAAATGTTATTTATAATTCTATTTTATTAAACATTCTATAAATTTTGAAAAAAAGAATCTTATATAAAATAAGGGTAAAATTGTTCATTTCAAAATATTTTTCCCTCTCCTCCTCTCCCCTCATGAATCAAACAAGGTAATATTAAAACTCTTTCCCTCATCTCTCTTTTTATAAATCCAAACAAAATAATATTAAATCCTTCCACTCTTCTTCCCTCCATTAAAATCCATCCCCTCCTCTTCCTTTCATTGAGTCAAACAGATCCTTAACTCAAATCGCTTCGCATTTGAAAATATGAAGAACATGAAGGAATAGGAATTTGAGAAAATCACAAATAGACCCCCGAATTATCAAAATTATGCAAAGGTCACCTAAATAAGCAAAATTACCATAAGGAACCCAGTCTCATATTGCAAATATGAAATCTTAGTAAAATGTCTGAAATACCCCTTAGCCAAATGACAAGTTAACTATAGGAAATGACAAGTTCACTTTAACAAATGACAACTTTAGTAGATCAAATCACAATTTGGTTGAAAGTATGCTAAATGACAAGTTGATTATGGGAAATAACAAGTTTACTTTAGCGAATGACAACTTCAATACACCAAATCACAACTTGGCTTAGGGGCATTTCAAACATTTCGCTAAGATTTCATATTTGCAATATGAGATTGGGTCCTTCATGGTAATTTTATTTCTTCAAGTGACCTCTGTGTAATTTTGATAATTTAGGAGTCTTTATTTGTCATTTTTTCTAGAAATTTTACTAAAAATAACCTCAACTGATTCTAATATTTAAAATTAGAGGAATAGTTATTACTTCTGTTTTTCGGGGCAGAGCAAGACCTGGCGAGAGAAAGTAAAATACAGAAACTAGCAGCACGTAGGGAAGACGAAATATCCCAATCTACGCACACCAACAAGGAATAAACAAGGTCAACCCAAATGAATGAGAAACGAACAAAAATATCTATGAACAAGTCATATATAATCATGAGTTGCTAAAGAAAGGCCAAGCTTATACATAAGGTTTTAGAGTTTCAATTCAGTCAGCCGTAAATAGGGAATTCTATTGGTAACTGTGTCTAATCTCTGCTCCTTTCATCAAAATACTGTCCCTTAATAAATTGCTAGCTGCAAATTTCAAGCCCGCAGGCACTATACATCGAATATAGGTCGAGTTACATAAGGCAGACCTCCCCAGTTTTAACGAGATGGGTTCCGAACGACGAAAACGGAGCAGCGATTGGTTTGAATGGGTTAATAAAGTAATTAGCTAATCGAAAGTGGTTAACTTAGCTAATCTCTCTCTCTCTCTCTACACACACACGCACGCACATTCTTCGTCTTAATTACAATCTGTGTGCGTATCTGTGCCTCACAGTGATGGCAGAGGCAATAGGTTTTGATTTGGCTAATTTGTACAAGGCTATATCTGAGAACAACTGGCTTGCTGTGAAAGAGTTCATTGATCACCATCCCAGGGCCTTGAACCAAGAACCTGTTGCTACAACGGGCGAAACACCTCTCCATGTGGCTGTAAAGTTTGGGCATTTGAGCATTGTAGAGCAATTGGTGAATTAGTTCCACCAGAATGCCTTCAAAAACTTGATGCTCATGGCTATACTCCGCTTAGAATTGCTGCATCACAGAGGGGAATCATTCCAATAGCGAAATGCTTGATTGATAAAAATAGCAATTCACTTTCTATTCCAAATGGACAGCTTAAATTGATTCCTGTTACATTGGCTTTTCGTGTTGGCCTCTATGAAATAGGACGTTATCTCTATTCTGTCACTCCTTTACAAGTCTTCAAACTAGAAAATGGCCCTTTGGGTCCTTCGTTTCTCAAAGGCCGTTTCATCACTAGAGATCTTGGTAATACAACTTACCATATGTCAGCAAATCACTATGTATATGTTTCATTTTCATTCTTTTCTCTATGCGGGTTCATGTTGTTATTCTGATATTCCATCTTATATGCCAAGTGATTATTATATATGAATAGATGTTGCCTTGGATTTGCTACAACGATGTGAAGAGCTGATTTTTGCTGCCGATTTTGGATACTCAACAATTGAGAACATTGCATTCTATCTTTCCGATTCTCTCAACAAAAGTCAACTTCGCTTCTGGAAGCAATGGGTTTATTACTGTTAGTTCATGTTACTCTTTTAAATGTCTGTTTTTTCTTTTTATCCCTATAATTTTCTACATGCTCTTTTCAGTTATATACAAGCCAGTACTATGATGATGAGAGTAATGGTATTGAAGCTCAAGTTATTTGAACCATCACTTGTATAATTTCGTTTTCATCATGGTATATTATGTAAAGAGAAGGGCTTGGAACTGAACTAAAAAAAGTGAGAGAACGAACATTTCATTAACAATAGCTGGCTAATGTATCAGCTTTTTCAAAATACTATCCAGTTCTAAAACCATATCTTAGACTAATATGGCATGACAATGAGAGTAAACAATCTTGTAAAATCTTTTCGATTACTGCAAAAGAAACCAAAGGTCTTGCAAAGCGAAAACAAAAAATCAGCAGAATACCTTTACCGAAGGCAGTCTCATTCCATCAACACTCCTTCTTGAGACTTTGTCTAGAGACTCTTAAGCTTCCTTCTAAGCTCCTAAAATCTGTCTTTAGGCAAAGATTTAGTGGTTATGCCTGCAACTTGCTCTTTGGAACTGCAATGCACAAGACATATTTCCTGTTCCCTTTCAACATTTCTGAGAAAATAAAATTCGACCTTCATGTGTTTGGCATTCCCATGCTGCACAGGATTTCTTGCAATAGCTTATCTGCTATCACAAAATACTTTAGTAGCTTTAGCTCGCTCCAGACCCAAATCTGTCAACATCTTTCTTAACCGAATTGCTTGGTTTGCATATTCAACTTCTGCAGATGATTAAGCCATGACCTCTTGTTGTTTGGAATTCTAGCAAAACATACTAGAACCAAGAGAAAACGTATAACCTGATGTACTCTTTCCATCTTCTAAGCTTCTAGCTAGGGCTGCACATGGGCAGGGCTGGGCAGGGCAAACCCCTTGCCCGATGCCCAGCCCGAAAGATGAGCGGGCTGCGTTTTGCAACCCGCTGCCCGGCCCTACCCAGTAGAGGCCCTAACCATTTTGGGCAGGGCAAGGACGGGCTGGGCAAGGCGGGCTTTTCTGCCCAGCGTAATGACACCATGCCTTATATCATATGTAGAAAAAAAATTCAATTATCGTGTTTTGAGACAAGTGAGAGGAAAAAAATTATCACGAATGAGTCTATCACTCATATATATATAAGGCCTATGTAGTCTTGTTCTTCAACTTTCAATTTCTTATGGGAGGTAAAAAAAAAATATTTAATAATTAGAACATTTAATAATCAAGCTAAATCAGTAGTTTAATTCCTTAGTTTATTCATATAGTTGGCAGATTTTTATAATCATGTGAAAGCACAAAATTTGAAAGGTGGTTTTATTTTTTTTTTTTGTTTTAAAAAATTGGATGTAAGAGAAAAAGAAAGAAATTTGACTTGGAGTAATTTAGCATATTGAATCTTATATTTTGATATTTAGCTCTTTTATATAATTATAATTTTATGTTCCTTTCATTTTTCTAATTTTACCTAATTTTTTTGGCCAAAACAAAAGAGATAATTGCTTAAAATAATATTATCTTATATATATAATTATATATTTTTCGGGCAGGGCCAAATGGGCAGGGCAGCATACCCTGCCCGCGGCCCTGCCCTGCCCATGAATCAGCCCAGCCCGAAGATGCCCATTTTTGCTTGGGCAGCTTTTTACTGGGCTGGGCTGGGCGCTTTTCTTGCGGGCTCGGGCGGGCTTATTGGGCATGCGGGCCTCATGCACACCCCTACTTCTAGCCCAATCACTATCCACATATCCAATTAACTTGGAATCTGTAATAGGTCTAACTCTGATGTGCCTTTTAAATACCTCAGCACCCTTTTACCAGCTACATAATGCACCTCACTTGGTTGTTGCATGAATATTGATGATAAATATGCTGCAAACATTACATCAGGCCTTGTTCAAGTCAAGCAAAGCAAGCTCCGAACAACACTTATGCCTCAGTGCATCAGCCTTCGTATCTTCTTCATCACATTCAGATAATGTTTTATTAACTACTAAAGGAGTATCCATAGGCCTGCAGCTTTGCATTTTAAAATATCTCAAAAGCTCTTGAACATAAGCTTGTGGAGAAACGGAGATTCCTTGATCTGTCATGAAATCCTAAAAAACAGAGCAGCCATAGCTACAAACATATCTTTTCAACTACTACAAAAGAAAGCTGCCATGACAGACCAAATGTCTGGCAAATCCAAAAACAAAAAGTCAGTAGATTATCTCTGCCTGAAGTATCTAGACAAAGTCTCATTACATCAATATTTGCTTGAGCATACTTATTTCAAAATAATCATATCCATCTCACCTTTTCTCTCCAGTAGTCGAACGCCAGCTTAATAAGCCATTCCCTTTAGTATTATTAGCTGAGATTTCTCTCACCTATTTTTAATTTTTATATCCTCGGCTGTATCTTATTCTAGCTAAGCCAGACGCTGACTGGCCTTGATACATGTCTCATGAAATCTATATATTTAAGACTTATTTATTTGTGAATGATAGCTTCACAAAATTCGAATGGCTTCACACAGTTTACTTGTCCTTCTAGTTATTAATTTTACCACTTTCATTATTTGAAGAAGCTAATGTTTCTCTATTTCTTTGATCACTTCATGGGTGGAAGATATCAAAATACCATCAACCACAGTAACTAATCATTTCTGTGGAGACATGCAACAAGAAGACAAGATGAGTAATAGAGCCGAAGGTACAATAACATAATACTCTCTATCAGTTGATTGGAAGACGAAATCAAATAATATTGCAAATCTAATAGAACATATATATAAAAAGATGTAAAGAAAATTTTATTTTATTAATCATACATGAAAATCAGGCATGTCAAAATATGAAATTTGAAAATAAAAATCATATCTTGTACATAACATGCTAATTGCTTGCATTTAAGTTGAACCTAACTGTTGTGCAATGCAAAAAAAAAGATAGACCTTCACATGCATATACATGTATCTGTAATCCTTTTAAATGATTTGGCTGATAAAATTCCATCTCGACAGGACTAAATCTACTACAGTTGATCACCTCCCTCCTTTATTATTTGTCTGGTATGTAGCTCAGAAATTCCCAAAAACTTAAACGAGTTGCTTTTAAGATTTTTGTTCTCATGATTAAGCTTGACTAATATTAAGTTATATTTGAGTTACCAATTGTCCAGGAATGAAGGAAATACATAAGCCGAAGTTGCAACATTCACGAGCAATTGAAATACTAAACCTGGTTTGTAAGAATCTAACATTTCTGAGTGAAGACAAAAGGCCTATGATTGCAAAAGCACTGTTGACAGAAGCTAAATTGGGAAATGTTGAGTTTTTGTTCAAGGTATCAACAGCAAACCCATAATTAATCTCAATGGTCACTTTCTCTCAACAAAAAGGGCATGTTTTCTTCAATGCTATTGAATATCATCAAGCTGAGGTTTTCAACCTTCTCCGTGGATTTCACTTTAGGAATGTGGTAGCAATAATGTTTAATGAGAATCACGATAACTTGCTGCACACGGCAGCCAAGTTGGCTCCTGCTTCCCAACTTAACCGCATCACTGGTGCTGCTCTGAAAATGCAAAAGGAATGGCGGTGGTTCAAGGTTAGAAGTTAAATTAGATGCTTTTGTGCGTGTGTTGTGTGAGGGAGATTTATATATAAATGAAAATCATTAAATCATGCAGTTCCCACCTACTTGGACCTAATGGTTAGCAGATGAGAGATTAAATTCAACAAGAAATGAGGGAATAATTGCATTGACCTAGGTGTAACAAATATTTTACTATACAATTTATCAGAAATTTTCTTCTTTCTATTTCTTTTTTTGAATTATAGGCAGTGGAGAGTGTGGTGAATCCTGGAATTGAGCTTCGTCTAAACAAAGAAGGGTTGACTCCTCTGGACTATTTCAAAAAGAATCACAAAGAACTCAGGAATGAAGGAGAGAAATGGATGAAAGATACTGCATCTTCTTGCTCAGTTGTTGGTGCTTTAATCGTTACCATTGTGTTTGCCACAGCTTTTACTGTTCCAGGTGGAAATGATCAATCATCTGGGTATCCAATATTTTTGAAGGAAAAGTTGTTCAAAGTTTTCTTAATTTGAGATGCAATGTCCTTGTCTACTTCTACTACTTCTGTCCTTACATTTTTAGGAATCCTCACATCATGCTATGCAAAAGAGGACTTCCTTTACTCCTTACCCACAAAATTGATCATAGGCCTTTCTACACTTTTTCTCTCAATTGCAACTTTGCTAATAGCCTTTTCCGCAACAATAATCATCATGGTGCAACATAAGTCATCACCTTCATGGGCTTTTCTCCCTGTCATTATGCTTGCCAACGTGCCATTGAGTCTCTTTGTTTTATTACAGTTCCCTCTTCTTGTAGAAATGATTTCTTCTACTTATGGTCCAGGCATCTTCCACAAGAAGGTGAAGAAGTGGCCATGAAATGTGTGTGTACTTGAGGCTTTAATTTGCACATTTAGAACATAAACATGTTGATGCATGAATACTCCAGATAAAGTAGTTCTAGAGTAGTGTGTGCTTTTTAGTTTGCTTCATCCCCAAATCTCCATTTTCCCAAATACTCCAGGACACATGCTTTTTGTAGCATTACCAGAGAAACAAACAAAGCCATTAGCGGAGTTGATGACTATGTGACAGATCCAAATCTGCATGGAAGGTTAAGTAGTCACCAACTCACGTGCTTTCACGTGGACATATGAAGAGGTAGGTGGATTGTGATAAGCGATTGTGAATCCAATATCAGAATTGAGTTAGTTGCTCTGATAGGAACCACACTAATCCACTAGTCAACATATAGCATCAGAGAAAAATATATATATATAATTTTTATTTTCTAGAAGTGAGTGGTTCTAATATAATTTTGCGCCCTTATGATCTGTATCGATCTCGAGAGTGAAATGAAAAGAATAATTAAAATTTAATTTTACATAAATTAAAATTGGACCAATCTGCAGGAGGAAGATGCAGATAAGGGAGAACTTATGATGCGTGGCTTGATAGTGATCATATGAGACGACTCGAATCATAATGAAGGCTCCAAATTTAGTGGAAAAAACATAATTTTTAAGTTAGGTTTGATTAAAAAAAATTTGTAATTTTAGTAAAAAGATTGTGGATGTTACCCCATAGGCATAGATATCTTGATAGTGGGGCCTGATCACCCCAGGATCACTGAAATATATTAAATATACTCTCCATATATATATATATAGATGATTGGTTAGAATAAAAGAAATACAGAATTGCAATCAAATCTCAAATATAAAATATCGTTGATAATTATTTTCTTTTCTTGAAGTTTTATTGTAATTCTCTCTAAGAGATAATTTGACGAAAAATAGTTCATACATATCTGCATCTAAATATTATAACATACTGATCTTCTCTCTATTTAATTTAAATTATGAAGACTTTTTTCTCCTAGTTTTAAAAAATTATATGACTTTCTCTCAAGATCAATATACACAGATATACATGTTAGATGAGTTTCTCATTTAGTCTTGAGATTTTTAACTCTTATTAATGATTAAAGATATGGGTATGGATTCTGAAATAATCATTGGTTATGACCGGTAATTAAGGATTTGTTTGAAATGGTAATTAGAGCTTTTAAAAGTAACTTTTTAATCATAATTTATAAAATATAGATAAATATATACAAAAATTTTGTTTTGACTGACATAAAAGTGTTTATATGTAGTTATTAAACAGTTACAGATCAAGCCATTGAAATTTGTTCCAGCAGGACACCAAGCAAATCTTGGAGGATATTCCACGGTTGGTCTGTCCTTGTTCTTCATTAAAATTTATGATTTGCTTGTTAAAATGACTTCCGTTGGAATTCTTTGTAATTGTTATTTGATTCCTTTTATGAAAAAAAATTATTTTTATTCTTTCAGTCTTTTCTTTTTAACCTGAACAAGTATTTTTTTTTTCAGTCTACACTTACTATCTTAAATATAAGGTTTACTTAAGCAATGGTAGATTCCAAAAAAAAAAAACGGTAAGTATTTTACTTGTAAGAAAAGACTTTGTAATACCACTTTAAAAAAAGAATATACTCTTACCATCTAATGATTAAAATATATAATATACAGAATTGAAGATACCTTAATAAATAGAGGTAATAAAAAAGGATAAAATCTTAATATAAGAGACAAAAAGAAATAAAATGTTATACTTAAAAAAAACATTTATTTATGATGACAATGTGATATGCTGATATGACAGGAGACACTTGCTATGGTGATGGTTGTCATTAAAAAAAGTCTGGGCATAAATTTCTCCATCATCGTTTAATACAGGGCACGCGGGGGTTCTAAAAAGATTTTAAATATTGATACAATATTATCAAATCTTATCTTATAATGTTTAATTTTCAAAATAACTATTTTGTCATGAAAAATTATTATTTAAGATTAACGAATTTAGTCATGCAAAAAAAAGACTAATAATTTTTAAGATAAAAGAATAAAAATGTACTTTTTAAAATAAAATCTTATATAAAATTAAAAGAACAAATATATATTTTAATCTATAGAACATTCTCTAGAATTTGCCAAGGTCCCTCCCAAAAAAAAAAAATCCTCTAAGGAGTGGGTCTGATTGATCCCGTAATATTGATCGTTTTTAAAAAAAATTTAATTTAAAAAATTTCACTTAATATTTAAAATAGCTTAAAATACATAGAACTTTCCTAAATTTTAAATAAGTTACATGTAACCTTCTTTATCTTTAAAAATTTAAATTAAGGACCATAATATTTTATATTTTAATTATTAATTTCTCTGCCGTTAAAATTAACGGTTTTCGCCATGTCAACCTTTTATATTTTTTATTATATGCCATGTCATTTAAAAAATAGCACTTGCAGTTTAGAAAATAAATTTTATATTTTTTAAGTACTCAAAAAGAAAAACTTAATTACCTTAAAATATATAAATATAAAAATATTTATTTAACTGAGTTTTTTTAGATAAAAAATTTTAAATTACTTCAAATTACATGCCACATGGCAAGTGATATTTTTTAAATGACATGATATGTAATAAAAAATATAAAAAAAATTTATGGTAAAAACCACTGCCTTATTAAGCAGATCCAGATCAAGCCATTCAAAGTTGCTCCAACAGGGCACCAAGCAATCTTGGAGGATATTCCGCTGTTAGTCTGTCCTTTCTCTTTGTTAAGTTATCTTGTTCATTCATGGTTTGTTTGTTAAAATGACTTCCCTTGGACTTCTTTTCTGTAATTGTTATTTGACTCCTTTTATGGAAAAAAAGTTTACTTAAGCAATGGTAGATTCCCAAAAAAAAAGAAGCAAGGGTAAGTATTTTACTTGTAAGAAAAGAATTTGTAATACTATTTTTTTAAAAAAATATAAACTTACCATCTAATGATTAAAATATATAATATACAGAATTAAAGATACCTTAATAAATGGAGTCAATAAGAAAGGGAAAAAAAATATTAATACAGGAGACAAAAGGAAATAAAATGTTATACTTAAAAGGAAAAATAAAAAAAAACATTTACTTATGATGACAGTGTGATATACTGATATGACAGGGGAAACTTACTATGGTGACGGTCTTTTATTTAAAAAAAAAAACTCTGGGCATAAATTTCTCCATAATCATTTAATACAGAGCATGTGGAGGTCTCTAAAATATACTTTTAATTTTTTAATTTTATATAAAATTTTAATTTAGTTTCTTGGCTTTTTTTTGTAATAGTTTCTTGGCTTTAATATATATTTTTAGTTTAATTCCAAAACTGTTAATAAAAATTGATGATATGAAAATCTGGAATGTTGATAAAACATTTTCAAATGTTATTATATTAAGTTAAATTTTCAAAATAATTATTTTGTTATAAAAAAATTATTATTTAAGAGTAATAAAAAAAGAAAAGACTAATAATTTTAAGGTTAAATGATTTAGAAATATACTTTTTAAAATTAAAGAACTAAAATGAAATCTTGTATAAGGTTAAATAAACAAATATATAGTTTAGGCTATTTGGATAGAGCATCCTCACCTTGCCAAGTCCCTCCAAAAAAAAAATCCTCTAAGGAGTGGATCTAATTAATCCAGTAATAGTGATCATTTTTTTAAAAAAAATTTAATTTAAAAAAGTTCAATTAATATTTAAAATAGGCTGAAGCGCATAAAACTTTCCTAAATTTTAAGTCATTTCCATAAAACTTATCCCATCCTTAAAAGTTTAAATTAAGAACTATATTTTGATTATTAATTACTCTGCCATTAAAATTACTGTTAAAATTAACGGTTTTTGCCATGTCATCTTTTTATATTTTTTATTTTATGCCATGTCATTTGAAAAATAGCAGTTGCAGCTTAGAAAAGAAATTTTAAATTTTTTAAGTACTTAAAAAGAAATACTTAATTACTTTAAAATATATAAAATATTTATTTAACTGATTTTTTTAGATAAAAAAATTTTAAATTACTTCAAATTACATGTCACACGACAAGTGTTATTTTTTAAATGACATGATATATAATAAAAAAATATAAAAAAAATTTTGACATGGTAAAAACCACTGCCTTTAACGATAGGAAGGTTGATAATCAAATAATTAAACATTAAAGTTCTTAAAGGTGAAGGAGATTTTACGACCAAAGTTTTTGGGGTAATGTATATAAACTTTTAAAAATAACAATCCACTGACATTAATCACCAATTACAGGATATAACATCATGCATAAACGAAAAACTATAAAACAATGTGAATACTTCTGCCATACTTTACATAAGTACATGAAAATTTTTTTGTCTTAACATGTGTGTGTGTATATATATATATATATTTAAGTACACCTACAACTGAAACATGACTTCTCCTATTCTTTCATGGGTCAAATCATTTTCTAATATATGTAAAGTGAAGTGAATATAATTGTTGGCAAAAAAAAAAAGTAAACATAATTATTTAACCCTTACAATCTTCCATTTATTTCAATATATATATATATATATATATATATTATCGAATGAGAGACCCGTACGTACTGAACGATGATATTAATTAACTGAATATTTTAACAAGCTTTTCGTTGGCCATAAATCCTGCATTATTTCATTACCCTAGCAAGCTAAGACCGAATATTTTAACAAGTTTGAATCATCTTAATTTGTAATTCTCTTATTTTGTAATTCTCTTAATTTGTCTCACTTAAAAATTTTGGTCGTCGGATGAATATTACAGTTTAATAATTCATTTTTATAAATATGTATTTTAATT